CGCCTCCTGTACGGTCTCTACACCCACGACTGTAGTCCGGGCCACAAAAACAACCTAATTGTCAAGTTTGCTGACGACACCACAGTGGCCGGACTCATCTCAAAGGGAGACGAGGCAGCTTAAAGAGAGGAGGTCCTGAACTTGGCAGCCTGGTGTTCAGAGAATAACCTGGCTCTGAACACCAAGGAGATCATTGTCGACTACAGGAAGAACAGCACCGACCTAGCCCCCTTTACATCAGCGGTGAGTGTGTGGAGAGGGTCCACACCTTCCGGTTTCTTGGCGTCCTTATCTCCGCTGACATCTCCTGGACAGACAACATTACAGCGGTTATCAAGAAGGCTCAACAGCGACTACACTTTCTGCGGGTTCTCAGGAAGTGCAACCTGGATTCCAACCCGCTGCTGACCTTCTACCGCTTGTCCATCGAGAGCCTACTGACGTACTGTATCACAGTATGGTACGGCAGCTGCACCATGGCAGACAGGGAGAGGCTTCAGAGAGAAGTAAAGGTAGCACAGAAGATCATCGGCTGCCCTCTCCCCTCCTTTATGGACATTTACACCACCTGCTGCCTTAGCAGAGCGAAAAAAGTCATCAAGGACAGCTCCCACCCTGGCTTTGATCTGTTTAACCTGTTGCCCTCAGGGAGGCGCTACAGGTGCATCAGAACAAGGGCCAACAGTTTTTTTTTCCAAAAGCCATAATCATTTTGAACTCACATATGCACTGACTTCACAGTCTAACCCCCCCAACTTTCTTCTATCCACTTATTGTGCAACATTTAATATTTAATATTTTATACTTTTGATAATATTGATAACATTTACCTCTCCTTTTGCACTACTTATTTAAAGCTGCAGTCCGTAGCTTTTTTTGGGTTAAAAATTATCCAAAATACATATTTAATAAAATACATAACCAGCCAGTGTTCAAAACTATCTGCTTGCCTTAACTCGATTCAAAGCGGTAAGCTTGTAATAATGTTTTTAATTCCAGTGGTACTGGTGGATTTCCGCGGGAGATTCGAGCATGTCTTTGCGTCATTACGTCACATCTGTACACATAAAGGAGGAGTCTCGGCTAGTAGGCTATATTGCGTGTGAGGATGCTGGAGGTGGAGATTTATAGCCTTTTCTCACAGCACTTGATATAATTAAACTTATCAATTTGATGGCGGAACCAGAAAGGTTCAAACGACGATCATCAGTGACAACTAGAGACTCACCCGCTGTAAAATGCAAAAAACTTCGTTCGGACTTCGGAGTGGCTACAAAAAAAAAGAGACTGCAACCGGCCCATGCGAAAACAAGGATAATATCGGAAGGATATTACATATAGTCACGCAATGCTTGCTGACGTTGTTAACATTAACAATTTGAGAACATAGCTACTTTGCACGGTTTTGCGTGAGACGATAACTTATAGCAATTGTTAGATTTAATCAGCGCGATTTACTGCAATGTCAGAACCAGAACAAAAGTGGATGTTTCTTACTAGTTCAGATGACATTTTCCGGTGAAAATTCTTATGTTGGTCATACTTCCAAAAAGAATAATCTGTGATTCTGAATGACAATATCCACATCGACGCGGTGACTGACAGCTGCACAGCACACTCTCCTCAAACACTGTGTGCCGTGTCGAGGGGAGGGTGTTGAAGTACAACTCACGTAAAGTTGATAATTCCGCGATTTCGAACAGAGATGGTGACAAAGAGGAAAAAACGGACTGCAGCTTTAATTCTATGTTGTTATATATCTACATATTGACACTGGAAAAGAAGTTGCTTTTAATCTCGTTGTACATGTGCATAGTGACAATAAAAGGCATTTCAATTTCAATTTAACAGGATGTTGCTCCAGATGTTAGGGACCCTGGATGATAAAGGAAAGACCTGCTGGAGGGACTTTGTGAACCCATTAGTCCACGCATATAATTGCACGCGTAATGACTCGACGGGATTCTCGCCATACGAATTAGTAGATGAATTAGTCATACTACCAATAGATCTAGTCTTCGGTCCGTCTGGTTAATGAGTCATCCCAGTCTCAATCGAGCTATGTAAGAAATTTGAAGGATTGTCTGGAGGAGAGCTACAGGGTAACAAGAACAAGGGTTGACGTGCAACACAGAAGCTTTGCGCAGTTCCACTACGTGAAATCTCACGGCCCACAGAGAAGGAAATTAATAGTTACAAATAAAGTCGTTATTTGTGGGGGGGGTTTTTTCGCACAAAAAGTATTCTCGTCGCTTGATAAACTTAAAGATAGAGCCACTGTAGTCACTTGGACTATTTGAACGATGTCTTTAACTTTTCTGGGCCAACAAGTTTCGATGCCTTTAGAAGCCTATGGAGGAGTGAGACAGTTCTCAGATTTAATCAAAAATATCTTAATTTGTGTTCGGAAGATGAACGAAAGTCTTACGGGGTTGGAACAACATGAGGGTGAGTAATTACTGACAGAATTTTCATTTTGGCGTGAACTAACCCTTTAAGTGTTTTATATGTCCCTACAGCAGGGGAATCCTGCAGTATAACGTATGAGGGAAACACTAGTACTGCAGCACAGTGCCGCAATGTAAAGTTAAGGCAACTTAACAACTGAGAGAAATATATCTTCCTCAGATTTAACGTTTGATTTGTACAAAACTTAAACGCAGCTTTTGTGTCTTTATCAGCTTTTCCGCATATACTGGCCCTGATAACCACATATACTTACCACTTGCTCCATTTCTGTAAATCCGTTTTTGTGAATGAATGACTTGCTCTAACTGTTGCTCTGGTCTTCATCAACACTCTGGCACCATCTGCAGATGGAGAATATACATTGGTACTCTGCACATCCGGGAACTGCAGGAAAAGCAGTAATTTTGAATTTTCTTTTTTTAATTTGCATGTCGAATATTATAGGTATTTTTAAACGGACTGAATATTTTTTAAGTAAAATCTGAAAGGTGAATGTATAATTGAATTTTCAATAATGAAAATATGTAATGTTTTGAATTAAAATATTCAAAGCTTAAATATACAACCATGCTGAATTTCAGCCCATAAAAATACAATGCATTAAAATGCAAGCACTGTTAATGCAATGATTTTTTTTACAATTAGTGCAATTCAACAAGTTTTTTTGTTTAAAATACATTTGGCATTATTTTACTTTCATAGTCACTTAGAAAACATCTAATACTTACTGTATTTAAAGAAGGATTTCTTATTAATGAATAATATTGAATGTAAAAATAAGTTTGCCTGAGATGCATTGAGATCCCCATATCTATGGGATTGAACCATATATGGCCTTAAAAATTAACATACCAAAAGAAAAGTTTGCTAATAACCAGAATGTAAAATCATATTGAGATATCTTTAATACTTCTTGAGTTACAGGCACACAAACTTGGGACTTGATGGCACTCTGACAGGAATGTGAATTTAGACAATTCTTTAAGAGAAAAACATATAAGCTGTATGCAAAGTGGCCATCATTTGGTTTTTGACCATTGAAAATGTGTTGATCAATTCTTGAAGACATATTGAGATCCCAATATCACTGTTATTAAAGCATATAGGGCCAAAATGAAGATACCCAAAGATAAATTTCTTAAAGGAGCATTTCACCCCTGGGAACCTTGATCTTCATTGAAAGTGGGTCATATATGTATTCGAAATCTGTCAAAATTTTCAAATTTGGTGCCTTTTTGACCGAGTTATGACAGAAAGTAACTTTATAGCGCATTAGTTTGGTAAACCACATTTCCCACAATGCAACGCGTTTGAACAGCTGATCTAGGACGCCTCTGTCCATATGCGGTGCGAAACTCGGATGGTTCACAACACAACACTCCATGTCCGTGTCTGCCTCTGACATTTCTTCTAGAAGGAATTGGCATTTTAGAGATTCTTTGCAGCAGACAGACTCTAGCTCGGTGTCCATAGGCGCACAGTTACAGCACGAGCACCACCAATTCGCTACAGCGCGAGCAAGCCCGGGCTTCTCGTCTGCGCCGGGCTGGTCTCCTGCGGCGGCCGCTGCCGCAGCCGACGCCGCCGCCTCTTGTTCCTCCATCAGCCTCAGCTGCTCTTCGCTATATTGTGGCTCGTATAAATAGCCACGAACATCAGTTTCGAGCAAAAGATTTTCAAAATCCTCGTCTTCCATATCGTGTGTCGTAAATTCAGGCATTATGGTAAATCTAACTCCTTGAGCGCTTGTTAGCTTAGCTTGCTGTCTTCCAAGCAAGATGGCAGATTAATAGTTTAGTTTCTTCAGGTTTAGTCCCACCCACTGATCTGTAATAGGCCGGTGGGGTGAGTGGGTCCCACGCCCTTGAATAATAATGAGCTAAAGGCTGTAGTTTTCTTAATATGCAATTAAATTTATCTTCCGTCCTATCGTGACGCAAAATGACGATATTTACGTCACGATAGGATGGAAGTAAAACACTTAAATCCTTTTTTCTCCCATCTCAGAAAAAAAAGAAGCAAAATTCCACCATCATTATAATATATGACTGGGTTTCTAACAATACAAACCTTAATGCAAATGGGTGAAGTGACCCTTAAAGAACCAAAATCTTTTCATTTTTGAACTGTCACCGTTGGCATATAATGCAACAAAGATTGCTAAAGTCAATAGATCTTTACCAATAGACCTACCAATGTCCATTTGAAATTAATAATAATGACACCAAATCCCAGGCTAAAAATTGACACCCCTCCACAAAATAATGGATTACTCAATAATATTCACCCATGACATTTAATATTTTGGCTTTTATCACTATTTATGCACGTCTTTCACCAGAAAAAAATATGAACAAAATCAAAAATTTGAGCCGGGGAAGTTTCTGAAATTTGGTTGATTTGACACGGATTGACCCACCTTCATTTCAAAACATAAGTTAAAAACAAACATTTTCCAAAATTGACATAGTCTGTACGAACCATGCAGATTGCCGACATAAATTAACAACAGTAAAAATGGTAAAGGATACACATGGTTGCAGGAGAGTCTGTAGGTGTTCTCTATGATCCCCTCTTCACTCACATCCACAAGGATAGGCTGACCACAGACAGCACAGATGCTGTCTGACAGGTGCTTAGTGGGCATTCCAGATGCACTGTAAAACTGAAGCAATAGATCTGTACATCAGGGTTCATACACTCTTTGACCAATAATTTTTCCATGCCTTTTCCAGTTTTTCATGATTACCAGAGATAATTGTGTTTAGAATTCTGTTGAGATTGTCCTGAAAAAGTAATTAATAGACAATGACATAATAAAATAAATAATATAATGAGAATTTCAATAAAAATAATTATAGCCTGGTAAATATCTTACTGAAAACAGACTAGAATTTGAGGTTTTGCTAGTTTTGTTAGTGTAACAGCAGCTTTTCAAATGGTTTGCAACTGATATGCCAGCAATCAGGCTAGATGCAAAAGTAAATTGCTGTTGATAACGTATGGGCATACATTACAGACAGCCAAGTGCTGTTGTGTGTTATGATTTCATAGTAAAACTAAAAGAAAGGAGTAAAAACAAAGTGAAAGCTGGCAGTTTTATTGGCCCGGTTAGGGGGTGGAATCAAACTTGAAATCAGACTAATTTATACCTCTTGTATCAAAGTGTGAAAAAAACTTGTGAGTGCTCAGATAAGCCAATGTGTCAAAAATTTGGAGGATGGCTGGAAACATAGGTAAAAGCAACATGATGTTTATCCACTGATTCAAGCACTTACCCCAACTGTAGATGCCATAAAATCTGCACACATCTCTGCAAAATCCCGACCAAGTACACCATAATACAGGCCGTAAAAAAGAAGCGACACACCAAAGTCCATGGCATCTTCTGGCTTTATTCTAAAAGCATAAGACATAAGACTCAACATAAATTATTAGTTCTTAATTACTCTATGCAGTCATCAACATTTACCACCTACAGTCAACTGGTCAGTTTTTTCAAGTGTTTGATAATTGTTTTGTGAAAATTATCACTAAAGCCGGGGACACACTTAACGACTAGCTGAAACATTCTAAGACTGAACACACTTACAGACTGTTTACAACGACTGGAGCAGATTTTAAACACAGACTGAATGCAACCGTCTCTTGACTCCGCACGTTTGGACATGATCAGTCGTATCAAATTACATTCATAATCGGCCTTATAGACGTTAAGTGTGTCCCCGGCTTAAGAATGGGTGATATATTGGTATAATATTTTGTCAGTGATATAAAACCTTGTGAATATATTTGATTACCATGAGATGATTTTTTTTTTTTTGAGAGCATTCCAAAAGATTTTAGAAGGGTTTCTGATTTAAACCTCATTAGAAAACTTTAATTCAGTTCTCACTTTCAATGATTCACAAGCTGTGTCCCAAAAAGTACATATTTCACATTCATATTATACAAAACAAGCATGTACTTTCAGGAACAAAGGAGTAATTTCACATGGGTAGTGGATGGTGTGTGGATTTGGGCACAAGACCTAACTCAGCTATTTGTTTGCATCCATCAGCACTCTCAGAGTGCACTCAATACACAAAAAAGATTTTACAAATTCAGTAAAAATATTTGTATGTACATATTGCCGTTTATTACTATGTATTGGTGTATAGGTTCCATGATTTCATATAGTCTTATCAAACCCTTTACCATGATTGTGTCAGCAGGGTATAATTGTTTGTCACAAGCTTTGCAACAAGCTTGCTTTGCACACTTTATGTGAAAGAAACCATAATGCAGCAACACATAAGAAACCATGTTAATTCTAAAGCCGATTTGTAATAAATTGTTTTAATAAGCAATTGTGCAGTCAGACGTTCTGTCGCAAAATAGATTATTTCTGAATCAATAAAACAAGCCATTGACTGAGCAGTCAACAACACATTGTTCCTTTTAGTAGCATGAAAAACAATTGTTATTCAAATTGTGATAAAATTATATACAGAAAGCAATCAAAGAACACTTCCTTCATATTTACTAGAGCTGTCAATCACTTTAGTTCACAAGCGCAAGCTCATGTTCTGTTATAATCATTGATACCATCTACACTGTATAATGAACAGGGGTGACAGTAACAAAGGATACTTTTCAAGTATGTTTACCTTATAGGAGTATTTTTATTTTGGGTAACTTTTACTTTACTACATTCAGAAGCGTACATATCATACTTTTAAATTTAGGATTTATTTAGGATAGGATTTATTATTGTAAATGAAAATCATATAGATCACGACTGTCAGTTTGTGAACTAAATGCGCTGTGGGTGAGTGGTTTAAGCCCATTGTATGAAATGCTTGAATGTGGACATCCACATTTGTGTATAACCAAAGACTATAGAATAAGAAGAAGCGTCACTCGTATTGTTTTGAATGGGGGAAAAGTGCAAAGCTCAATATGGCGGAATAAGTCCCGCCTTCTAAATAAGAGCCAATCGCAGATTGGTAAAGTCATTGCATTGCATCACTGCAGCTGCAGTTAGAAGCTCTGGTTTCTATAGAAACAGTCAGACGCGTCCTTCCACTGCACATGAGCTTGATCCAGCCTGAAAAAAATGTCGTTTTCTGTCATGATTCAAATGTTTAGAAACAAAATTTATGAGACAGTTATATCAGATTTCATTGGTGATTTTAGATATGAAATTTAATCGTAAGCTTGGCAAACAGTTTTGGAGAATTTGATTTTTCCCCATTCAAAGAGATAGGAGCTGCACTTGCATGCCTAAGAGGCGTTTCAAAGATGGCCCCCTAGGGAAATGATTTGTCCTAAAGGGACATTACCCTCTGAACGGGGTAGGTTTCAGGTAAAAACTAAAGTTAAAATAATGCCCGTGCATCTTCCCTGTTTTTATATTGTATATTTATATTTGTCAACAAATTTACAAACATTTTGTTTTTCCTCATTTTGATATACTAACTATATGGTATATTTTGTTAAATTCTCAGTAATTCTCAGTAGTGGTTATCAGTGTATGACAATCTCCCCTTTGAGCAACATTCATGACAAATAACATTGTAAGATGATGCATGATATACGATCTTGAACTTTAATGAAATATTGTATTAAATATTGTATTACACGCGTGCATATATATATACACACACTCACCTAAAGGATTATTAGGAACACCTGTTCAATTTCTCATTAATGCAATTATCTAATCAACCCATCACATGGCAGTTGCTTCAATGCATTTAGGAGTGTGGTCCTGGTCAAGACAATCTCCTGAACTCCAAACTGAATGTCAGAATGGGAAAGAAAAGTGATTTAAGCAATTTTGAGCGTGGCATGGTTGTTGGTGCCAGACGGGCTGGTCTGAGTATTTCACAATCTGCACAGTTACTGGGATTTTCACGCACAACCATTTCTAGGGTTTACAAAGAATGGTGTGAAAAGGGAAAAACATCCAGTATGCGGCAGTCCTGTGGGCGAAAATGCCTTGTTGATGCTAGAGGTCAGAGGAGAATGGGCCGACTGATTCAAACTGATAGAAGAGCAACTTTGACTGAAATAACCACTCATTACAACAGAGGTATGCAGCAAAGCATTTGTGAAGCCACAACACGCACAACCTTGAGGCGGATGGGCTACAACAGCAGAAGACTCCACCGGGTACCACTCATCTCCACTACAAATAGGAAAAAGAGGCTACAATTTGCAAGAGCTCACCAAAATTGGACAGTTGAAGACTGGAAAAATGTTGCCTGGTCTGATGAGTCTCGATTTCTGTTGAGACATTCAGATGGTAGAGTCAGAATTTGGCGTAAACCGAATGAGAACGTGGATCCATCATGCCTCGTTACCACTGTGCAGGCTGCTGGTGGTGGTGTAATGGTGTGGGGGATGTTGTCTAGGTACACTTTAGGCCCCTTAGTGCCAATTGGGCATCGTTTAACTCTCTGGGGTCGGCGGTCTCGCCGGCGATACCAGCTCACTTTTTTCCTTATCAGTGCAAAAGAGACTCAAATTACTCTGTTAATTTTGATCTTACATATAAGTGTTGTACATCATTCGATCCTGTTAAATTTGTATTTTTTTTGTGGAACCTCATAATAAAAACAAAGTGTTGTGCTTTTCGCCTAATAAAGAAAAATAAACATGATGCACGTTCTGCGTTCTTTCTGTCAGTGAAGTCCATTCTGAAACGCGTCCGAAAAATCATCTGTAACTCTGCAAATACTCAGTCAAACAGGTATACAGGCACACAGGCATGAAGCCTGAATTATCTTCTTTTAAATGAAGTAATTTATATAAAAAAATTTTTTTCTCATTTTATGTAATCTGTACGAAAAGAGAGAGATGATAGTCGTTCTCGTCTCAGCTCATTAAAGTTAATTTGACCACGCCCACGGAGCGCGCGCTCTATTCAAACACAAATGCTCTGAGGCGATCCATGCCCACACTAGCTGGATAACCCACCGAAAGAGACTCAGATTTACGACGCTGTGAGGAATAATAGTACTATCTTAATAATAATCCTGGAAAAAATTACCTCAGAAGTAGGCTACAGGTAGTTTCATTTGGAGGAGCAACGGATCCAGCCGAGGAAATAGGTACATTCTTTTCAAGTGCTTTGTGCTAATCGCGATATGGAATAGTGTCTGTAAACAAAAAGACTGTTTGAATCGCGTTTTTGTGTGTGAATGAATGAACAGCTTTTACCTAACTATATTCCAATACTGAGATGAGTAAAAATCGACTGAAATATGTTGAAATAAAATATTTTTGTATAAGCAACGTATTAAACTGCAAATTAACATTTATATGTCCTAATCATAAAAACGATATGTTACATATGAAAGACAAGATGTCGTTTTTACTGTAAAATACTGCCACATCAAATAAGCTTGTTTGCTAAGATGTTATTATAGTGTTTGTTCGATTATAGGCTATATTCAAACTAATTAATCCGCAACTGTGAAATATGTATGATAAAATGTATACTTTAGTATTTAATACAAAGAAAGATTACATTTGAAATATAGTTAAAATTTTAATTGTTGTTGTAATTGTAACCTTTTTATTAAAATAGCAAAAATATATGTAGGCTACATATAAATAAATCTTAGGTAAATCTTAAAAGCTCAATATAAGCCTCCTCTTTAAATTATTTGTATTGTGTTTTATTAGTGACACATTTGGGATACATTCCCAATCTTTCTGTAAAAACAGTATGATAATTAACTGCACAATTACTAGGAATTTTTACATTTGATATTATACAATTTGCAAGCACAATTTGAAAAATAGATAAATAATTGGAACTGTGAACCAATTTTGTATTATATAGGCATATATATATATATATATATATATATATATTGTCATTGCATTCTTGTGGCTCAGTAACACCTGAATGAAGGGGTCATTAGTATGCAGCTCCATTATGCGCTCATTATGCGGGCCCATTGTCTTCTCAGGTGTGAATCACAGCAGGCCACACCCCTGCGCATATTGCCTTTCCAAACAAAAAGTGTCATTTTTAAATTTAAACCAATCTATTGTTTTATGTGAATAATAAGGCAGGATGATTTTCAGATCATTTTGAAGAAAAAACTCTAGGCGACAACATCCATTAGTCAAAAGTCTTGTGGACACATATTTAGTATGTGTTTTGTGGCCTTATTTCAGAAACTTTAAGTTTTAGTTTTTTCAACAACCACGCATAAACAATATTCTCTCAAAAATACAAAAATGTACATACATGTTGATAACACATTATGGTAGCCCTGTGTGTGCTAAATAGAGTGTAATTACACCTTTGCCAGTAATATGTTTATAAGCAACTGAAAAAAGCACAAATGTCAGAGTATGTCAAAACATCTCAAGGACCCCAAAAACACCTTGGACCCCAGAGGGTTAAATGCCACAGCCTACCCGAGCATTGTTTCTGACCATGTCCATCCCTTTATGGCCACCATGTACCCATCCTCTGATGGCTACTTCCAGCAGGATAATGCACCATGTCACAAAGCTCGAATAATTTCAAATTGGTTTCTTGAACATGGCAATGAGTTCACTGTACTAAAATGGCCCCCACAGTCACCAGATCTCAACCCAATAGAGCAGTGGTTCCCAAACCTGTCCTGGCGACCCACCAACACTGCACGTTTTCTTTGTCTCCCTAATCAAACACACCTGATTCAACTCATTAGCTGAGCTGATGAGTTGAATCAGGTGTGTTTGATTAGGGAGACACAGAAAACGTGCAGTGTTGGTGGGTCGCCAGGACAGGTTTGGGAACCACTGCAATAGAGCATCTTTGGGATGTGGTGGAATGGGAGCTTCGTGCCCTGGATGTGCATCCCACAAATCTCCATCAACTGCAAGATGCTATTCTATCAATATGGGCCAACATTTCTAAAGAATGCTTTCAGCACCTTGTTGAATTAATGGCACGTAGAATTAAGGCAGTTCTGAAGGCGAAAGCGGGTCAAACACAGTATTAGTATGGTGTTCCTAATAATCCTTTAGGTGAGTGTATATATATATATATATATATATATATACACAGTATATATATATATATATATATATATATATACACACTCACCTAAAGGATTATTAGGAACACCTGTTCAATTTCTCATTAATGCAATTATCTAGTCAACCAATCACACGGCAGTTGCTTCAATTTAGGGGTGTGGTCCTGGTCAAGACAACCTTCTGAACTCCAAACTGAATGTCATAATGGGAAAGAAAGGTGATTTAAGCAATTTTGAGCGTGGCATGGTTGTTGGTGCCAGACGGGCCGGTCTGAGTATTTCACAATCTGCTCAGTTACTGGGATTTTCAAGCACAACCATTTCTAGGGTTTACAAAGAATGGTGTGAAAAGGGAAAAACATCCAGTATGCGACAGTCCTGTGGGCGAAAATGCCTTGTTGATGCTAGAGGTCAGAGGAGAATGGGCCGACTGATTCAAGCTGATAGAAGAGCAACTTTGACTGAAATAACCACTCGTTACAACCAAGGTATGCAGCAAAGCATTTGTGAAGCCACAACACGCACAACCTTGAGGCAGATGGGCTACAACAGCAGAAGACCCCACCGGGTACCACTCATCTCCACTACAAATTGGAAAAAGAGGCTACAAGTTGCAAGAGCTCACCAAAATTGGACAGTTGAAGACTGGAAAAATGTTGCCTGGTCTGATGAGTCTCGATTTTTGTTAAGACATTCAGATGGTAGAGTCAGAATTTGGCGTAAACAGAATGAGAACATGGATCCATCATGCCTTGTTACCACTGTGCAGGCTGGTGGTGGTGGTGATGTAATGGTGTGGGGGATGTTTTCTTGGCACACTTTAGGCCCCTTAGTGCCAATTGGGCATCGTTTAAATGCCACGGCCTACCCGAGCATTGTTTCTGACCATGTCCATCCCTTTATGGCCACCATGTACCCATCCTCTGATGGCTACTTCCAGCAGGATAATGCACCATGTCACAAAAGCTCGAATCATTTCAAATTGGTTTCTTGAACATGACAATGAGTTCACTGTACTAAAATGGCCCCCACAGTCACCAGATCTCAACCCAATAGAGCATCTTTGGGATGTGGTGGAACGGGAGCTTCGTGCCCTGGATGGGCATCCCACAAATCTCCATCAACTGCAAGATGCTATCCTATCAATATGGGCCAACATTTCTAAAGAATGCTTTCAGCACCTTGTTGAATCAATGCCACGTAGAATTAAGGCAGTTCTGAAGGCGAAAGGGGGTCAAACACAGTATTAGTATGGTGTTCCTAATAATCCTTTAGGTGAGTGTATATATATATATATATATATATATATATATATGAGGGCAGAACAAAACACTAAACTTGGTTAAGGTATTTATCTGACAAAATTATTTGGCAAAAAATAGCAACCTACAGCTTTTTTGTGTGTGGGGCAAATAAGCAGGCAAAGAAAGGGAAAATTGACATGCATCTTCTATATAACATGTATAACATTCACACAGTCACTCATTAAATCACATATTCGTTCATTATGTATTTATTAATCTATTCAACAAATAAAATAGAGTAACACCTACCAAACAAATTTCAGAATTTAAATTAAATTCTAGGTCATCATCATTAAGAAATTTGGCATATTACATTCAGGTTGTGTATCAGACATCATGAGAATTACCGTTAAGTTGGCACTATTATATGCTAAAGTACTTTTTGCTAATAATTCTGGGGCTAGAATAAAAAAAAATCCAGAAGAATCGTTCAGTCCACCCAAACAGTTTCTATGTATACTGAACATATTTCCTTTTACTTTCATTTTCTGAGGTTGTTCACAAAATGTGTTAATTGTCATCTAGAGATGGTTCAAACAAATAGCTATCAAAAGAATTTACTCATTCAACTGTTTAGTAGAGACATAAGCTGATACATTTTTAAAATCAAAATAATAATTAAACCTTTGCAAATAATTGTTCACAATAACAACAGGGTAATCTGGGGACATGCAAATTTCACAAATATATTAATTAATAAATCCATTTGCAATGAATATAATATAATTTCTGCTACAGCACAGTAGTGAAGTTCTGCCTCCCTGTAGCTGATGCAAGAACTTTAACACTTGGTGAAACACGTGGTGAAAATAAAAAAGAGACGGGAGGGAAAATGCTTTTGCTTTCACTTGCAAAAGTTTTTCATTCCACCAAGACACTTTGCGTTCGCTCGCAAAATCTTTTCAGTTATTTGCTAGCGAATGCAAACGTTTTTGCAAACACGGGTGGTTGAGAAGTTTTAGACTTTCCAGGCTGATAATAATAATAATGCAAATGAACAAACAAGCGAAGATGCCACAAGTATATTCAACCAAAAGACATCATATCTTAGTTGTGTAAAACCCAACAAAACCAATGTTACTTATGAATCGAGAAGAAATAAAGCAACCTTGGCGTCTGTTTTCAGGCCTTCCCACTCCTTAAGGTCTTCAGCGCTGGAAAGCTTCCCCAACATTAACGCGGGTCCTACCTCTTGCCTGATCATAAGCCTTCTTTTTAAAGTTATATTCCCCTGGCCTTTTCCTCTTTTGTATTTTCTCTGCCATCTCTTTCTATAGTCGTTCTGCTTATGTCTGTTGTGTGCACTGAGCTCTCTCTCCTGAATGTCTCGTGTATACGCCGCTTACTGCTGATTGGCTACAAGTGTGTTTTGGTGCTCGGTCTAATCCACTTTTCAACAGCATTTTTCAAAAATCGCTTACTGCACCTTAAGTATTATATAATATTTTTTCTTTATTATTGTAGCACATATACATCAGCACCCATACATATCCACACATCTTCCACCAGAAGATTTTTTTCCCCTTAATTAATCTGACCATGAATTGCATGTTCACTAAATGCTATATGACATCTAAAATTATTCTCAACAGCATTTTGCCAGACTAAAATTATTATGAATTTCAGCTTTATTAAAATTATATATATATATATATAAAATAAAAAAAACGACATGAAAAAGTTGTACTTTGTTCTACATTTGTCAACTTGCATGAACTATTAATACATTTAATTAAGCAAACAAATAAAAAAAAAAAAATTACCTGTAGTTAGAGTTTAATGTTTTTTAAACACAATGTTATAGTCAGCTACCCCAATGATTCAGTGTTAAAACATGAAGCTTAATAACTTACCTAAATATAAGATTGATGCCAAAGAGGGTGAACATAACTACAGTATAGCCCACAATGCCTGTGGTGTAGCTGATCTTATACAAAAGGAGGAACCATTTATAAACAAGCCTGTGTGGAGAGAAAGAGACAACAGAGTAAACTCACCAAGATGTCAATCTCACCAAGAAATGTCTGGGTCCTAACTTCAACCCAAAAATCAAAAAGATAAAATAATTGCAACAATATGCCCACAAGATTTAATTTATTGTAATTTACCTCATATCATTCCAAACCTGTATGCAGGGTTTCTGCAGGGTTTAGTCAGTCAAATTTAAGACCTTTTAAGACCTTTTTATGACCAATTTGATTTAAATTTATGACCTACTCGAATTACGAAAAATAACTTCCTTTCAAAAGTCTTTTTTTTATTGACTTTCATTAAAAGTAATAAGTTTCATTATTTAAAGGTTCCATTTTCTTAAGAGTAACAAACTGAAGGCTCCCTTTTCCTAAGTATCAATAACACAGGAACAACACAACACTTATCACGATAATATATCAGTCAATATCGATAATTATGACGATAAATGTCAAATCTTTATTTCTTTCAACTTTAAAGGCCGATTTTTGTTCCTAACTGAAAGTTGTAGAAACCAGAGCGTTAATTGTGGTTTTAAACTTCTCTTTATTGTCAGAACATATCATGACAAACACTTACCAAACAGGTGAACATTTCACAAATCTGAGGTAGAACATTCAATCATTTGTAATTTTTCCTTAACAAAAATATCTTTATTTCAAAATTAATTTCTTAGTTTCTGCATGTGCTAATGGGGGATATTGTTTCAAGTCTTGAAACAGGTTTGTGTTGCCTGACTTTGATGGTATGGCACCACATATCTTTATGAAATGTATGAAAAACAGTAGGCTATAGCCTAAATACATAAATACTGTAATTATATTCCATTAGTCCTTTAATACATTGTCTACATTAATAATATAATACAATTCAATATGTATATCCCACATTTCATGGTGCAGTTGATATTACTAGGCTAACGTTACAGTAAAACCATGGTAAATGATGGAAATTTGTAGATGGAAAAGCTTTCTGACTGTATAGTTGCGCACAGTGTTTCTCCTGTTCGTCAGCGCTGTAACTGTTTCATCTGCCTTTAAACTGGTTTAAATCACTGAGACATTTGTGTTCTTCGCTGAATTCAAGTGCTTCTCAGTGGATCTCGTGATCGAGACTGATCAGAGTTAACCACAGTAAAAGAACGCGTCTGCTCTAGTGATCGACCGATATTGATTTTTATAACCGATACCGATACCGATTATTTGCATGTTTATGTGCCCGATAACCGATATGCAGAACCGATATTTATTTATTGTTATACTTCTGTTTTTGACACAATTATTACAACACAAATGAACTGGACAAACCATTTTATTTATAACAATCACTCCCTCCTTGCATACAAAAAAAATAAAAGTCCATAAAATAAAGTGCACTGTTACAAGTGTCTTTGTTTAAAAATAAAAGCTTTGATGAGGTAAAAAATAAAGCACAAAAATTATTCTAACATATTGGGGGGAAAAAATCAAAATTACCTGTTTTTTTTTTTTTTTGCATAGCTATTTTAGTAGTGTAACTTTATTATTGCATTAAATAATTTATATCTAAATTATACATATAATTTATAAGCATCAGCAGCAACAATGTTAACAATAGGCAAAATAAATTTTAAAAGTCTAATGTTTTCATATGGAGAAAATAATTGACAGGGGAGTCATATCACCTTTGCAGAAATGTAATTCATTTTAAACAGTTTTAGAAGGTTTATGTGCCGTTTAATAGGTTTAAAGAATGAGGAATAATTCACTGGGTAATATTGATTCACTGAATAACATTAGCTATAACATTGTCAGGAAAGTAACAAACAAAACAGCATATACATCATTTCATTTTCCAACTCGTATGTTATTAAATAATTAATCATATTTTTGTCGGTCTAGATCATGAAATGCTTTATGACAAAGTGCTGTTAATCTATGCATTTACACAGAACTATAACTTAGGCTACTCAACCGCGATCGCGCGTGCAGATAATAAATAATTAATTTCCACAAAGCGGTATATTTAGATGTGAATTAGCGAAATAATTGCTATGTAGTAAATGATCATATAGCCTAATCTAGGGTGTTTAAACAAGATAATCTTGTCAAAAGTTTCATTCAGTGGCCGTGCTTTAACATTCCTGATCATCAACCCAGTGAGTGCTCAGCAATATGAACGAACTTTTTTTCCGAGACTAATGGTGAGCAAATACAACAGATAGAGAATTAAATTCAGCGCTTTTATTTTCAACATGCACTCATTCATGTCTGTTTTATTTAATTCATGTAAAGTTACGTCTTTATTGGGGCAGGACATGACGGATTACGCTACGTGACTCCATGAGTTCGTCTGAATTTTTTAGAACCAAGCTGCATAAATAAACTATATCAGGCATTTATGTCTCAAATCTCATTTCTGCATGTCTGTTATGTTAAATAAAGTTGAATAATTAAAGCAAAGCAAGTAGAACATATACTTACCTGTGCACAGAGTTGTTGTTGACTGATCTCCTCAGACGCGGGCTGCAATGGCGGAATTCTCAAAACGGCCACAAGATGGCGCCATTAATCGGCGAATCCGATATTACAAAACCGATACCCGATTATGGGAAAATGCTTAAATATCGGGAAAAATATCGGTAAACCGATACATCGGTCGATCACTAGTCTGCTCTAGTGAGCTTGATCGCGCTACGCTGCCGTTTGGACTTTGAGCCGAGTGGATAATAAGTCCGTGATTTCAAATGAGTTTCGTTCCGCTTTTGCCGCATAAACATGATCTAACATTTATCGAACTCTTGATATCGTTTTATAGAGAAAAAATTATATCGCGATAATGAATGAATGAGCATATCAATTTAAGACGTGGCTAAATGTAATTTATGACCTTGTATGGAAAAGCCAGACGTTTTTTATGACTTTTTATGGCCTAAAATTCTTATTATTAAATTTAAGACGTTTTATGACTTTTTATGACCCCGCGGAAACCCTGTGTATGATTTTAGTGTAGCCTTCCTGCACTAAATTGTTATTATTATTTTTTGCTACTTGTTCCAATTACTTAATTAAAATGAATGCAACACAATTGCTAGGACAAAATGTACAGTATAACTTAATTTGAGTGAAGGGAAAGACCTGTTAATGTTTAATGTTCAGTTATGTTTGACATTTAAAAGAGTTTCTGTTATGTTGAATTTCTATTGGTTACCATTGTGCTGAAGTATAGAATGTATAAATATAGCTTTGCTAATGCCAGTGCAGTAACAATCTACTTGTGCTGTGCTAGTTGCAGACAGGCTTTTAATTGTACAACATAACAAAACGTCAAATACAAACAGGTCTTTTCCATTTAGTCAAAATCCCAGACTTGAATATATTGTAATTTACTCAATATGTTTGAACTGAAATAACTAGAAACATTGATTAAAGGAAAAGTTCACCAAAGAAAATGAAAATTATTCCACATTTTACTCACCCTTAAGCCATCCTAGGTCTATATGACTTTCTTTCAGCCAAACACAAACGGATTTATATTAAATAATATCCTGGCTTTGTAATGGCATTGAATAAAGCCTTTTCGGAGCTCCAAAAAGCACACCCATCCATCATAAAAGTAATCCATACAACTCCAGTCGGTTAATAAGTGCATTCTGAAGTGAATCAATGGGTTTTTGTAAGAAAAATATCCATATTTAAAACAAACTAATCACTGGCTTCCGGCAAATCCTGCTTCCAATGCGCCTAAACGTAAAAACAAACTGTAGACATTAAGTTTATGTAATAATACCTTCCTTAGTCAGCTGTTTTTAAAGCGATTTTATGTTGTTTTTATTCTGTTTTCATTATTGACAAAAAAACACGATATGCTCTCGTTGTGTCTTGGCGACATCATGTGGTCAACTTGTTAACTTGTGGTCTGATTGCCTGGAACACATTGTGGTCTGAGGTGCAACATTTAGTTTGGGATATTCCCATGTCCAACCTGGTCTGGAAGCATAAGCTTAGGTGAGAATTGATGAACACGGAAATGCAGAGGATAGAGCAAAACAAAACGCCGGTCACAAATTAGAAAACTAAAACGAGAAGTTTTAAAGAAAAATGTCGGAGGATTTCGATATAAGAGGAGCTACATTATACGTCGGGTCAGAGGTCAACCTTCTGCCAGAACTCGAACAAAACCCCATTACTTTGCTTCAGAAGGCATTTATTAACCCACTGGAGTTGTATGGATTACGTTTATGATGGATAGATGACCTTTTTGGAGCTTCAAAAACTCTATTCAATGCCATTACAAAGTTGGGAAGGATATTATTTAATATAACTACGACTGTGTTCAGCTGAAAGACGTTCAACTAAAAATATATGTTTAAAATGAAGATAAATTGCGAACCACTTGCCGTAATTTTTTTTTAGTAAAGTCCAAGAGCCAATTTTTTTCAGTGTCCTGTAAGTCCCTTTAGAGAAGTAGAGTGTGACGCTAACAAAGGCAAAGTGACAGGTTTAATTTCCAGAGAATGCAAGAATTGCAAAAGAAAAAAAAATATAATTTGAATGTAACTCAAGTCACTTTGGATAAACCTGCCAAATGTGTAAATGTAAATTTTCTTTACTGATGGGGGCAAGAGGGGATGTCAAGTAAAATAACTATTACAAATTTGTCTGCACACAAATCATGAAAAAAAAGAAAAGGAGCATGCATTATCTGGAACACTTTATTGATACATTTATGGTGTTTTTGCATTCGTTTTGAAGTTTAAAAGCAATAGTCCCCATTTATTATAACTGTTTGAAAAAATAATATTGACAGCATGCTTCAAGATTTTCTCTTTTTTTTGTAACAAAGCGGCAATAAAGTCATACAGGTTTGGAACAGCCTGGGGTTGAGTACAGGACATTGGGAATTAAAAATTTGGCATGTTTCCTCAATGCCGTTGGTGCTAAAAAAAAAAAGCCTCTAAACTTTTGAACTGTGCTGACATTGGGGTAAAATGTGACCTGGACATATTTTCATAAGATTCAGATCAAACAGGTGACATCACACAGAGACAGATTTATAAAATAAGCAGCAACATAGTCGAATATAGTATAGTATAGCATTACAGTTGAACAATGAACTTTGATCCCTGTGTAGGTGTTATTTTTGTTATTTAGGAGTAACCAATACTTCCAAATTATCTTAAAACCTGGGGTGTGCGATATGTATCATTTACAAAAAATACTGTAATTATTGTTTTAATGATGTGCAAGCTGATATTATCAAGTATTTCACTCTTTTTTGGAAAAACCAAACAACATGCTTTAAGAGTGCACGCATTTACTGCGTGCTGTATCCTATTTTAATGCTGGTAGAATACCGCCGAAATTCAAACACATTGTTTCTTGAAGAGTTGGGTGAGAGGAACGTGAACACTTGAGCTCATCACCTGAGCCCTTAAGGTCTAATGCTGGTTGAGGGCAGAAGAACTCAAGCAGCATTGCTTCTGAGTGGGCGTGGACCAGGGGATCAATCGGGGGACCGTCTGCTGGCGAGCATCTCCCAATTGTGAGTTTTTGAGCCAATGACCTCCTTATATAGCGGGAGAGCCTATCTCCAGTTCATGTGCTTGAACATCCTTGGCCAGTGCTACACCCTGGTGTACACCCTGGTGTTATTCAATAGAGCTTCTGCATAGCATCGGCTACTTTTTTGGTCAATACTGCACACCCCTACTTCAAACACGGTTTATACAAGTACCTAACAGAAAGTCACACACAGCTAAACAGGGTCAAAGTCCCATGGCATGATAAATCTATTTTTGGTTACCTTGGAGTGGTGCAGTCCAGTGGTTTGCGGGTAGCGCGAAAAGTGATGAAGGCTGTGACAATAGAGAAGATGAACCATGTCACCAGAAACCTCCACCAATGCAGCTTAGTGGTGAAGTACAGAGGAACCACCCACATTTGGAAGAGGGTTACCAACTTTAGGAAAAAAAACAAAAAACAAACTCCACTTAGATGTTAGCTTCCAAAACCCATCTAGAAATATCAGTGGTCGTGTTTCACCTCCAAAACCCACCCCACATTTTTTTTTAAATATATATTTTTATCAGAACAAGGTACATAAAGAGTATTCAGTGACAAAAACAAAGGCTTTTTTTCTTCACTTTTTCTACCCACAAATTCCCATCCAAACACAACAACCCAAAATGCTAGGAAAAATAAATAAGGGGGGAGTTTCTCTAGATATGTTAACGAGGGAGGGGTATATTCTTCTCGAAATTGATTATTAAAGGGTCCAATGTTTTGGTTGATCCCCTGATAAAATATTTAAAAAATTCAGTTTTTAGAAACTTTAGATCACTAAGCCATAATGACAATTTAGGTGGATTTGGTGATTTCCACTCTAGAAGAATTCTCCTTCTAGCTATTAATGTTACAAAAGCCAAGGCATTTTCTTTATTTTTAGCTATTTGAATGTCATCACCACTGACAAAAAAAAAAGTAATTTAGAGCATGAACACATATGATGCATTGCAAAGGTCACATGTTTCATCTAGATTTGGGTACAATTTAGCCAACTTGGTTTTACTACAATGAATACGGTAGAGAACTTTCATCTGAATCAGATTGAGTCTTGCAAAAGATGAAGTCCCATTTACTCTGTCAACAGCTTTATCCCAGGTGTGTTCAGATATAATGATTCTTAACTCTCCTATCCATTTCGCTTTGATCTTTTCTATTGATATATTTTGGAACGACATGATCAAGTTGTATATTTTTTCAAATTAATCTCTTAAAGGTTCTCCAAGCGATCCTGGGTGACGTCACTTCTTGTTGACGTTCGAACTATTGACAAACAAAACGGAGGCTAGCTAGACCCTCCCTCCTCCTCATCCGCACACTAACCCCCCAAACCACACCCCCAAACCCTTCTTGTCGGTCATTGGCTGGAACAGTTTGTTATGTTTCGTGGAGCGGGTCGTTTGTTTTTGTTGCCGTTTGTGGAGCCTGGGGTGTCTGCAGAGACCGCGTTTTTTTTACAGTGTGTTCAGGGGACAGGCAGCTAGCGGATAGTGAGGAGTTGTTTGCTGTATGTGACAAAAAAAGTTTTGGCCTAAAAAACACGTGACATCGCTTAGTCATCATTTATTTACCTTTAAGGTGCGAAAGGACCATTTCTACTGATTATATATTTTGAGAGTCGAAATTACAACTGGACTTGAGAAGCCATTCCCCAAGTCAATTATGATCTTCAGTACGCAAGCGCGTTTCCTGTAGAAAGGCTTTGTGTATTTAATCTCTTCAAATGTGTAAATATGCGAGTTCTTTTCACTGGTCCATTTAAACATCTAGCATTCCAGCTAATAATACATTCTAGATTTGTCTGTAAACAAAGACAAACCGCAGATCACAACTATCTCTTGGCTCCCAATGTATCCATACACTTTTCCATTTTTCCCAGAGCTCCCGACATAATGTAACCACAAAAAAAAAAGCATAAAATGTAAAATCAGGCATAAAAATAAATGTATAAGCAGACCACGAGCACTATTACCAGACACAGTGCCTCAATTAACAAAACTGTAAATGCAAAAAAAACGAAAAAAAAAAACTTAACCCCTAGTTGCTCCAGAGGCGTGCGACCTCTGACATATATAGCAATTGTAAATCGCTTTGGATAAAAGCGTCAGCTAAATGAATAAATGTAAATGTACTAAATGGATTATGAAAATAGGGCATTGCAATTGTCAACGCAGAGGAAAACATATAAACAACCCTAAAACAAAAGGTGCACTTAAAAAAAAAAAGGGTGTACTGAAATGTAAAATAGGTTTTCCAGTCACTGTAGTCAAGTCTCGTATTCGTGCTGGATGAAGCAACTGGAATTGTACATCCTTCTGTTTGTTTTTCCTTGTCCTGAAATTTGTGTAAACAACCGGTGGGCGAGGAGGTCGACCTTCCTGTGGTTTTGAGCCCAAAGATTGATGTGCTCATTCCAGTTCGGGGGGGGGGGGCTCAAAATACTCTGCTGATTTTGATCTTACATATAAGTGTTATACATCATTCGATCCTGTTAACCCTTTAGAACCTGAAGCTAAAATAGGTGTTTTTCACATATTTTGATTTTTTTGACTGTAAAATTCTAAAACAATGTGCCATCTTCATGTGCAAGGTGTCATCTTTTTCAGAAAAAGATTAGCTTTCAACAAATTACAGTTATTGACCATTATTGTGTGTGGTGAGTTTGTAAATAGAATTTAAATAGACAAAAATAAAAAAACAAGAATACATTTTCTGATTTTTATTTAAAAAAAACACAGAAAAATCACGAACGAAAGAAACTAACACTTTAAAGTTGAAAAATGAAGTATAATACATCTATACAAGTCTTTTTTGTGACATTGGGTTGCACAGTTTTCATTTAGGACACTTTTTTTCATACACGCACACATACAAATGCGTCCATTCATAGGCACGCACACACATACACATGCATACACCACATGTAAAGATACGTGAAAGAGTAACGGCCATCCGCCTCCCAAGTTTCATTAAATATCATCCCAATCCCCTCTTCTGCTGTCTACCACTTCTTTCGCCATGTATTTGTTAGTTTCTTTTATTATTTTATGCAATCTAAAACACTCTAACCTGCCGCGCTTCGTATCTCTCTGTTCAAATCCTTCCTTCCCGCTTTGCCAGAAAGCTGCTGTCATTTGCTGACGAAATTACCGTAATAAGCCGTATATTGCCGAAAAGCGCATGTTGTCTCCTGTCAGGGGCAATTTGAATGGTTTTGATAGTGCGATCGGTTGAAGAGTTACGGTACAATGAATACAGCTTGCTGATCTGTGTCAGCGACGACACAGCCGGTTCTAAAGGGTTAAGTGTCTATTTTTTGTGTATACTCACAATAAAAACAAAGTGTTCTGCTTTTTGTCAAATAAAGAAAAATAAACATGATGCGCGTTTTGCCTTCTCTCTGTGAGTGAAGTCCATTCTGAAACGCGTCCGAAAAATGAACTAACTCAGTCAATACTTGTCACAGAGACACGAGAGATTTCTCTTTATGATGCTGAAATTCTCTTCTTTTAAATGAAGTAATTTATATAAAAAAGAACTATTCTCAGTTTATGTAATCTGTATGAAAAGAGATAGATGTCAGTCTTTTTCCTTTCAGCTAATTATAGCGTATGACGTGTTAATGTGACCACGCTCACTGAGAGCGAGCGCTATTCAAACGCAAAAGTTGAGGCAAGCCATGCCAACGCCCACATCAGCTGAATAAAACATCCAGTTTGATAAGAATCTTGTACTTTACCTCGTCTTGCTGCGCTGTGAGGAATAATACTATCTTAATAATTCTGGAAAAGTTACCTCAGAAGTGCTGGTAGTTTCATTTCAAGGAGCAACGGCTTCAGCTGATGAAGTTATTTATTTATTCTTAAGTGCTTTGTTCTAATCGCGTTATTGAATAGTGTCTGTAAACTGCACAAAGACTGTTTAAATATGAATTGCGTGTCTGTGTGTAAATGAATGAATGGCACAGACGCGCGCGCGATGTTACTACAACATCTGTGCCGTTCATTCACTCTTGCTACATTATTTTACATGAACACATCCAATCTATATTGCTACAGCCTACTGAGATCTGTTCTAATCGCGATATAGAATAGTATCTGTAAAACTAAAAAGACTGTTTAAATAAATCGGGTGTCTGTGTGTGTGAATGAACGAACGCACAGATGCGCACTGTTACAGACGAAATAAAAGACGATATTTCATTGACTAGTTTTGGATAGATTATAAAAGTTTTTACTATAAAATAGACATCAAATAAGCTTTTGTTAGACATTTTCTGCTCATATGTTAAATATGTTTTGTCAAAAATAAACTAATCAACTGTTATTGTTCCAATGCAAGCTATATCAAAATAATGAATCCTTAACTTTGAAATATGTATGATAAAATGTATTGGCCTACTTTAAAAAATAATACTTTAAAAGACATTTATGGAAAAAGATAATTTTCTTTTCAAGATGTTTCCAACTCTAACTTTGAACCAATTCTATAGAATGGCCCATATAACCTATTTTGAACAGGATTTGTTCCCAGGTATGACTAAAAATGTGCTTTTGACTTTCATTTATATTTAGATTTTTTTTATATATATATATATATATATATATATATATATATATATATATATATATATATATATATATATATATATATATATATATATATATATATGTATGTATGTATGTATGTATGTATGTATGTATGTATGTATGTATGTATGTATGTATGTATGTATGTATGTATATATATATATATATATATATATATATATATATATATATATATATATATATATATATATATATATATATATATATATATATATATTAGGGATGAGTCGCGGTTATATTTTCGCGCAATTCCAATGTGACATAATTGACGACGCCCCTACTGTCACAGATCGCGCAGCAGGGTATTATCCTGTCAGGGACACAATGTGTCACTAACATGAATGAAACCCCCTCCTGCGCGATCTAGGATACCAGTGTTTTATACATAGTGTAAACAAACAACAGAAGAAGAGCATTGTCGTGACCGTTAACTCTGCGCCCAACAGAGGTGGGTAGTAGACTAACTTAACCTTTACTGTCTATGGTAGTAACAAAGTAGGCTACATTTACTTCACTACGTTGGGCGACGTTCCTCTCGTTACTTTATTTTAATGCAATACATGTTGTTAAATGCGTAGTTTATTCCAAGCGCGCTGTGTCTTTTTTATGGGCATGAGCGATGCTCCATTCACAAATGAATCACTCTTTTGAGTCGATTCTGTTCAAAGACTTCATCAAACAAGTTGGCAGATCTGTCTAAATCGGTTCGCGAATCAGTTTGAATTATCTGTTCAGTTCCTCGCGCACTGAATCGTCTGAAGCGCTTTCAATTCACACTCGACACGG